CTCAACCTCCGCACCCTCCACCCCATCCCCCCGGGGACGCCGAGGCCCCCTTCCTCGCCGTGCTGGGAGGTGGTTGGCCCGGCGAGACCCCCACCCATGATCCCTAAGTTTCTCCTCCTCCTCCTTCCCCTTGCCTCCCCCTTCCAGCTCCCTCCTCCCAGTTTTCCCCCTCCCCTCTCCCACACTCTCTCCTGCCCTTTCCCGCCTCCTCTCCCCCGTCTCCCCACAGTTTTATTCCCCCCCCAGTTTTGTGAAATAAAGAGCGTTTCTATTTTTGAACATGTGTCCTTTATTTTGTACATCAGAAAGGGGGACTAGGGAGGGGTAAGTGGAAGGAGGTGAGGGAGGAATGGGGTACGAGCCCCTGATGGGGAGGACTGGGGTGGCTCTGCGGGCTCCTCAGGGTGGAAGCTCTCCTGCAGGCCCCCAATTGACCCCCCTTCCCGGATGGCAGCCTGCGGCAAGTGCAGCCGGGCAGATGGCCGAGTGCTGTAATGTGCCGAGTGTGGGCACTCAGGGCACTCCAACCAGGATTGCTTTGCTGTTCCTCATCGAGTTAGACAAGTGAGCGGGGAACCCTGAGAACTGTCTGTCCGGGGTGGGGGTCGGGTCCCTTTAACCACAGCCCTCGGCTAACCTGAGGCAGCAGATCCACACTCTAAGTCCTAATCTGATGCCCTGCCGGCACTGGTTCTGGCCATCCTTAACCTCGGTTCAGGGTCCACTCAATGTGGACATGCTAGTTCGAATTAGCAAAACGCTAATTCGAACTAGTTTTTAGGTCTAGATGCACTAGTTCGAATTAGCTTAGTTCGAATTAACTAATTCGAATTAAGTTAGTTCGAATTAGTGCTGAGTGTAGACATACCTCACAGAGGGAAGAAGAATTGCCAATATTCTGTGTTTCTAAATACTGTATTTTATATTTTATTGGTTCTAGATGCATATCTGTCAAAGTCTGAAATTTACAGAAAGCAAGGCAATAAAGCATTAGCAATCATGAATTGCACTTTAGCAGTGAAATGCAACCCTACAGATGATGATATTTATTTCAGGAGAGCTGAGTTGTTGAAAGAAGAGGAGGAATTATTATTGGCAATGGATGATTATGCAAAAGTAGGTTTTCCTTTTTGTAGTGTAACGTTATCACTGAAATACAAATATGTGGATTTATTTGGCATGCAGCTTGTATCCTTTTAAACGAACAACAAACAATTGAGTGTGATGAAGTTAGTACATAATTTCTGTAACTTATCCTGAAGAATGATGAATAGCTAAATTAAGAATCAGTTTATAAAATTGCCTAGTTGGTTGTATTCCATTTTTACAATTGAAGAGAAAAGAATGGCAAAGGAAATTAAAGGACAAGGACATTTTAAAAAAGAATTGAAGGTAGCTTATTATTTTTAAAAAAGTAAATATTCTTTGGTACCTTTTCATTTCAGATTTAAAATTCATTGGAAAATCACTATAAGTATTATGCAAATATTATGTGCTTCTTAATGTTTTCAATGCAGTGTTTTCAATATAACCCAAAAAGAACAGATGCACTCATGAAACATGGAATACATTTCTTTGATAAATCAATTTGGACTGTAGCTCTTCAGGATTTTACAGCTGTGATTAAGGAAGACCCCAGCAATATTCAAGCAAGGTAAAATATATAGTCAGCAATTATTAATTGATTAGTAAAATAGCTTTTAAAATAATATACTAATATATTTTCTGTAAACACAAAATATACTGTGCCAGTGACTCTGTACAGGAGACTCACAGATGTGTGTCTCTCCTCCAGACTATCCAAAGTAAAATCTCAGCCTGTCTTGCTTACATCTTATGGATGTCTAGCCATCAGCTTATACTCAACATGTCTAAAATAGAGTTCTTAATTTCTTCCCGCCACAGCCTTTCTGGACTGTGATGAACAAAACCATAATTCTAACTGTCACTCAGGTCCATAATCTGGGTGTCATCTTTCATTCCAGTCTTTCTCTAGGTCCTCACATTCAGGATAAATCTAATCCTTGTAGATACTTTAAGTGCTTGTATATTGTTGATTACACTGGGTGTCTGCATGCCCTATGTGCGGGTGCTGGAGACTTTTTCCTATAGATTATTTTTCATATAGGAGCAGCCTGTGATGTAGTGGGGGGTGCTGTACACTCTGGGATATGCTGTCTACTCTTGTGGCCCTGGGTCCATTCTGGTTGGGCATTCACTGGTTTCTGTGTGTGCTGTGGGTGACACCTACTGGCCTCTGTCTGTGAGCATTGCTCAGTGGGGGCGGGTCTCCTGTGAGCACAAGCACGTAGGCAATGGGCAACAGTTTCTCACCTGGCCAGGGAAAGGGGTTTAAATAAAGGAAAGGGTGTGGCTACCTGGCAGGGATGAGTGTTCTGTGGTTTTGAGAAGGGGGAGTCTTGGCTGGGCAAACATGAAGAGAATGTACTAAGTCGAGTACTGGAGGTTCAGGGGCCTGCGCATCCCTGCCCCAAGGGGTCTGAAGCTGCCTGCCAAATTACTCCTATGCCCACATCAAACCCGGGCTGTGCTGTATCTCTGAGAAGAAATAAACCCTTTCTATTCTACTGGCTGGCAGAGTCACATCTTGCTGTGGACAGGGATGCAGGGACGGGAGTCTCCGACACGCCATCACACAGCCTCCCCTTATAGTTAATCTCATTCTCTGAAGTGAGAGTGTAAAGTGCAAAGCCAAACCTCCTAAGCTTTGACTTAACCATCTTATTTCCTCTTCATGGTACTGCCATTGTATGTGGAAACAGAATATAGAAGCTAATCTCCATCTGTCCATCCTCTGAGCACTATAATAAAAATTCTTCTTCTGCAATTACCCATTTATACTTTAGAAATCTGCCAGTAAAAATAAAAAGGAATTTGCTATTTAAATATTATGCAGTATCGGCCCATTTAAAATGGTGGTTGGTGCCTGTGACTGGTCGCTCCAGCCCCTCACTGAAGCCAAGGGAATGGCCTTGGCCCAGCTAGTCAAGAAGGTCCCTCCCCCACAGGCCTGCTGGGCACGCTTCCACTGGAGACAAACTATAAAAGCCTCTCGAGCAAGTCAGTTGGGGTGGACCGACAGAGGGGAAGGAGCGCAGGCACGGGCCCCAGAACAGGCTTAGCAGCAGCCCAAGCCTCTGCAGCAGCCTGAGCCACAGCAGCAGCCTCAGCCACAATGACAACAGCAGCCCCAGTAGCAGCAGCCTCAGTGGCCCCAGCGACAGCCCCAGCCAGGAGGGCGATCTGAGCAATGCCACGGGAGCCGTGCAGCACTGTAGAAATGGTAGCAAGAAGCCCAGGGCAGAGGATTGTTCTCTGGGAGCTTGATGTGTTTTGGTAGCCATCCCTGCTGAGCAGGCAGCAATATACTCCACTGCCAACAGGGCCCTGGGATGGGACCCGGCGGAGCGGGAGGGCCCGGATCCGCCTATTCCCCACTCCGCCCCCCCCCTGCTTGTGGGGACTGTTTTTTGGGCTAGGCCAGAAGGCCGTATATACCCTAATAGAGGAGACTGTGTGGTGGACCAGAGCAGAAGGCCATATATACCCTAATAGAGGGGACTGTGTTTCAGAACAAACCAGAGAGCCGTATATAGTTTAATAGAGGGGACTGTGTTTTGGACCAGGACAGAAGGCCATATATGCCCTAATAGAGGGACATTAACTGCAAGCAGTGTTTACGGGCCGGGTTGGTCCCACGAAAATGGAGCCCTAACCCAGGTATTGGGGGCTTCTAGACCATCAAGGGAATACTAAGCTGATTCAAATATTCACATTGTACATAGCTTCATATGGTTTTCTTCTGCAAATATATACATTTTTTTGTAAAATTGTAAATAAAAATAAATTATTTTTTCTATACTAGGATGTATCGAGGAAGAGCATACAGTAAACGACAGCAGTATAAAAACGCAGTGGAAGACTTTTCTGCTGCAGTTCATCTCGATCCTTCTAATTGGTTAGCATTCTATTACAGAGGTTGCATACTGCGAAAGGTTGATCCAAAGAGAGCGCTGCAAGACTTCAGTGTTTCTGGTATTGTTGTTGGTTTTAAATTTTATGTTGATAAATGTCTATGCATTGTTGACTTTTTACAAAACAAACATTCTCTATCAGTTACCATAGCACAGTGTATGAGATATCACAATTCTTTCTGATGGTCAATGACTGCAGAGTCCACCAAAGATCTGTACTGGTACAGTACTGTTCAAGATATTCATGAATGAGCTAGAAAAGGGGGTAAATGGCGAAGTGGCAAAATTTGCAGACTATATAAAATTAGTGTAGATGGTAAAGCCCAGAGCTGACTGCAATGAGTTACAAAGGCATCTGACAAAACTAGGTGACGGCAAGAAAATGGGAGGTGAAGTTCATTGTTAATATGTGTAAAGTAATGCACATGGGAAAACCAATCCCAATTAAATGTACAGAATGATTGGGGGAAGGTGTCTAAATTTAGCTGTTAACACTCAAGAAAGGTCCTGGATCCACTGGGGATAGTTCTCTAAAAATATCTGCTCAATGTGCACAGGTAGTTAAAAAAAAGAAAAAACTAACAGGATGTTAGGAACCATTAGAGAAGGGATAGATAATAAGACAGAAAATATCATAATGCCACTATGGAAATGCATGGTATGCTCACACCTTGGATTCTGTGTGCAGTTCTGGTTCCTCCATTCCAAAAAAGAAGGGCAACAATATTGATCAGGGTATAGAACTGCTTTAGGAATGACCAAGGAGCAGAGATTTATAAAATCTTGAAACGTATGAAAAAAGAGAACATTTTCTTTGTACGGTGATCCCACCAGTTAGTTTGTACTTCAATTCTGGTATTAAATATAACACGAAGGGTACGTCTACACTGCACATTCTTTTGGAATAAATTGTTCTGTAAGATATCTTCCGGAATAGCCTATATTGAAATAGCGCATCTACACACAAAAAGTGTAATGAAATAGCGATGTGCTATTTCGAAAGATAGCATCTACACTGATTGGATGCTATCTCACATATAAGGCCACCTGGAACCAGTTCAGGCAAGGCTTTATGTCAGCAGTTGCTTCCTGGAGCTTCTGCTTGAGGCATGAGCTTAAAGGGACCCCTCCCCCTGATATAGCTGTTTCTCAGGTTCTTCTGCTTGCTTGTCTACCTCTCTGAGGGACAGCAAAGCATTTCCACTATGTGCTTTGGCCGCCCTGCTTCTGGACACCACAGCACACTCTGCTATGGAGCCAGAGCTGCTTTTGGGCATCTGTTGGCCCTGATTTTTGTGCTGCAGTTTCTGCAGGCTGCTCTCCAAGCCCTGCAAGAACACAACCCTAAGTTGCTTGAGGAGACCCTCAGCATGTATGTGGGAATGGAGCTCTTGCAGCCGCAGCCGAGTGTGGAGTGCCTCTTCTGGCAGCTGAACACCAGTTCTGACTGGTGGGACTGGCTTGTCATGAAGCAGTGGGACAACCAGCAGTGGCTTCAGAACTTCCACATGAGGAAGGAGACGTTCCTAGAGCTGTGTGCCTGGCTCACCCCAGCCTTCACACAATGGAACCCACAGATGCACCCTGCTATCCCCCTCAGAGAAGCAGGTCACCATTGCACTCTGGAAGCTTGCCACGCTGGACAGTTAGATGATCCATTGGGAACCAGTTCGTCATGGGGAAGTTGACCGTCAGGGCCCTCGTTATGCAGGTATGGCACTCTCAGGCTGCAGTCCCTGGGAAGAGGAAGTACTAAAAAGGGTGACCTTAGGAAAAGGGGGAATTAACGGCACAAGGGGGTGGGGGTAGAGGGGATGGTTGTGTGTGTAGCAGGGGGAAGCCCCATCCCTGTGTGGTTCTGCTATCCCAGAAGCTGGAGGCCCACATTTTCTTCACCGAGCGCAGCATCAGGATCAGGGACGTGGAGATGCCACTGTGTGTCGTGGGGAATGTGGCCTACCCCCTCATGCCATGGCTAATGAAGCCTTAAGCCAGCCATTTTGACCCAAGCAAGGACCGCTTCAATGCCCACCTAGGCAGGACACCATGTAGGCAGAGTGCATCTTCGGATGTCTGAGGGCGAGGTTCAGGTCCCTCCTGACTTACCTGGATGTGGGGGAGCAGAGCATCCCCCAGGTGGTGTCTGACATAGTGGAGAGGAAGGGGAGGCCTTCTTTCTAGGGTGTGGGGGCAGAGGCCGGCTGGGAGGGAAGGGCCTTTGAGCAGCCACGCACAGCTGCCATCTGGCAGGCCCATCAGGTGGAGGTGTGCATCTGGGAGATCCTGAGGGAGAGTTTCCCTCAAGGACCCCAGTGACACTCTCCCCAGTCCCTCCCCACTAGGGGACTGTGTCTTGCCCCTCTCTTCCTTTCCTACAACAACCCCTCCTTTCCCCCCTCCCCCCTTCTCCCCTGGAGCAACAATAAAAAAACTGTTTGGTTGATAAAAAGAGAACTGTGTTGTGATTTATTTGGGGTAGAAGTAACTGGGGATAAGAACCTGGAAATGGTCCAACGGATGAGCAGGCATGGGAATTTGCTGGCCACACTGGGATCCAGTGAAGGGAAAGGGGCCTCGAGCTGCCTGGGCTTCCATGGGTGCTGTACACACACTGGATCTGGCAGTGGCTGCATTCCAAGGGGAGAGACCTGGTATCCCTGGCTTCTGGGTGAGAGGGATGAAGGTGTGTGTATGAGTGTGAGTGGGAGAGAGAGAGAGCAGGACACACATCTGTGCTTTGCAGTGCCATCCCCGGGAGTGGGTAGTGTCTCGATTGTGCAGGCATGCCCGTATGCGACACTCCAGAGTCTGTGTTTGTGTGTGTCTTTGTCCCAAGCCTCCTTCCAGCAGTAGCTCCTGGTGGGAGGGTGGAGTTTCCCCCCTAGGGGTCAGAAGTGTGGCTGGCCTCCCCAGAGCCTATGAGCAGGAGCCCAGGGGTGCAGACTGGTGCTGCATGTGCATCCATGTGCACAGACTGCAGGTGATTGAGCGACGATTGCACCACAGCCCCTCAGTGCCTGCCACCCCCACCCTGTGTGTTTGAGAAAACAAAGACCACTCTGATGATCCTTCCCCAGCCTCAGAGGGTAACTGGGACACATCCAGGTGTGATTGGCAGGTGGAAACTGTTGGCTTCTAATTAAAGTTTGAATTCTAGAAGCCTCTGCAGATTGGCTGAGCCTTGGTAGGGGGAGGGGCTTTTTAAGGCAGTGGGCAAGCGACCAAGGAGCTTGCGAACCGGGAGTTTTGAGAGGGAGTTCTCCAGGTGAAGGAGAAGCAGATACAGGACTCTTGAGGGAAGTGTGTTTTGTTATTGGGGCTTTCTTACTGTGTGCAGAGCTTGTGTTTGTTTGGAGTGTGGTGGTGTTGGTTTTTTTTTTTCCTTTCCCTGTTTGAGTGAGGCTTTAGAGAGGGAGTTCTCCAGGTAGAGGAGAAGCAGATACAGGAGTCTTGAGGGAAGTGGGAGTTGTGTTTGCAGCTTTCTTGCTGTGTGCTGAGCTTGTGTTTGTGAGTGAAGGTTGGTGTGTGTTCTTTTTTGTTTTTTTTGTTTATTTATTTATTTATTTTCCCCTGTGTTTGAGAGTGAGGCTTTTTTTCCCCCCACCTCCCCTCTGCCCTCCTCCTCCCCTTGATTGCCTGTGATTGGCAGGTGGAAACTGTTGGCTTCTAATTAAAGTTTGAATTCTAGAAGCCTCTGCTGATTGGCTGAGCCTTGGTAGGGGGAGGGGCTTTATAAGGCAGTGGGCAAGCGACCAAGGAGCTTGCGAACAGGTGAGTGCTAGCAGGGAGTTTAGAGAGGGAGTTGGGAAGGGCGTGAGGTTCTCTTGCCTTTCTTTTAAATCCCTTCTCCAGGACAGCAGTGATGGATGGTGATGGGTCTGCTGTTGTTACCTGTACAGCGTGTGCCATGTTTGTCTTCCACCCGGAAGAAAGAACGGATTTCATCTGCACCAAGTGCAAGCTGGTCGACATTTTGGAAGAGAAAATTAGAGGACTGGAGGCCCAAGTGTCGACCCTACGCTTGATCAAAGAGGATGAAGACTTCCTCGATAGAAGGCAGCATTTAATCCTTCAAGCACAGCAGGCAGAAGAGCCAGAGAGGGCAGTACGTGACCAAGAAGAGGATGGTTGTGTGTGTAGCAGGGGGAAGCCCCATCCCTGTGTGGTTCTGCTATCCCAGAAGCTGGAGGCCCACATTTTCTTCACCGAGCGCAGCATCAGGATCAGGGACGTGGAGATGCCACTGTGTGTCGTGGGGAATGTGGCCTACCCCCTCATGCCATGGCTAATGAAGCCTTAAGCCAGCCATTTTGACCCAAGCAAGGACCGCTTCAATGCCCACCTAGGCAGGACACCATGTAGGCAGAGTGCATCTTCGGATGTCTGAGGGCGAGGTTCAGGTCCCTCCTGACTTACCTGGATGTGGGGGAGCAGAGCATCCCCCAGGTGGTGTCTGACATAGTGGAGAGGAAGGGGAGGCCTTCTTTCTAGGGTGTGGGGGCAGAGGCCGGCTGGGAGGGAAGGGCCTTTGAGCAGCCACGCACAGCTGCCATCTGGCAGGCCCATCAGGTGGAGGTGTGCATCTGGGAGATCCTGAGGGAGAGTTTCCCTCAAGGACCCCAGTGACACTCTCCCCAGTCCCTCCCCACTAGGGGACTGTGTCTTGCCCCTCTCTTCCTTTCCTACAACAACCCCTCCTTTCCCCCCTCCCCCCTTCTCCCCTGGAGCAACAATAAAAAAACTGTTTGGTTGATAAAAAGAGAACTGTGTTGTGATTTATTTGGGGTAGAAGTAACTGGGGATAAGAACCTGGAAATGGTCCAACGGATGAGCAGGCATGGGAATTTGCTGGCCACACTGGGATCCAGTGAAGGGAAAGGGGCCTCGAGCTGCCTGGGCTTCCATGGGTGCTGTACACACACTGGATCTGGCAGTGGCTGCATTCCAAGGGGAGAGACCTGGTATCCCTGGCTTCTGGGTGAGAGGGATGAAGGTGTGTGTATGAGTGTGAGTGGGAGAGAGAGAGAGCAGGACACACATCTGTGCTTTGCAGTGCCATCC